TGTCACCTCCAGTGCCACCTCCAGCCCCCTGTGCCACCTCCAGTGCCACCCCAACCTTCCCTGTGCCACCTCCAGCCCCTGTTCCACCTCCAGTGTCACCTTCAGCTCCCCATGGCCACCTCCAGCCCCCTGTGCCACCTTCAGTGCCACCCCAACCTTCCCAGTGCCACCTCCAGTGTCACTCCCCCGGTCCCCCGTGCCCCCCGTGGCCGCACCTTTCTCGCAGTGGGCTCCGGAGAAGCCCCTGTGGCAGGAGCACTCGTAGGTGCCCATGCTGGGGCTGCAGGTGCCCCCGTGCTGGCAGGGGTTGGGGCTCTGGGTGCAGGGGTGCCCCCGGAACGGGGAGATCTCCCTGGCGCTGCGGATGTTCTGCTCCTGCAGCACGGGCACCCCCTCCAGCGAGATCTGTGGGAGGAGACGGGCTCAGCCACCGGCGGCTGGGGCCTGGCAGGGATTTCCCGGGAAAACGGGAATTCTCATCCCTGGCAGCGCCCAGGGCCGGGTTGGCCGGGCTGGGACAGTGGAGGTGTCCTGGCCACGGCAGAGGGGGAGCCTGAAGGTCCCTCCAGGCCACACCAGGCTGGGATCCACAGATCCAGCCATCCCTGGGGACATGGGGACAGCGGGAAGGGGACACGAGGAGATGGGAATGCATCCCTCTCATGGGAATCCATCCCTGAGAAGGGAATGCATTCCTCCAACAGGAATCCAATTCCATGTGTCCCCGTGACCCCAGATTCCCCTCCTGTCCCCCACCAGTGCCACTTTTCCTCCAGGGATGCTCCACACACCAGGACAGCTCCCAGGTCCGTCCCAGGACACGTGGGGCATCTCCCAGCTGGACACTGGGCTGTCCCAGCTGGACACTGGGCTATCCCAGCAGGACACTGGGCTGTCCCAGCAGGACACTGGGCTGTCCCAGCAGGACACTGGAGTGACCAGCAGGACACTGGGCTGTCCCAGCAGGACACTGGGATGACCAGCAGGACGCTGGAATGACCAGCAGGACACTGGAATGACCAGCAGGACACTGGGATGACCAGCAGGACACTGGGATGACCAGCAGGACACTGGGCTGTCCCAGCAGGACACTGGGCTGTCCCAGCAGGACACTGGGCTGTCTCAGCAGGACACTGCGTTATCCCAGATGGACATTGGAGTGACCAGCAGGACACTGGAGTGACCAGCAGGACACTGGAGTGACCAGCAGGACACTGGGATGAGCAGCAGGACACTGGGATGACCAGCAGGACACTGGGATGAGCAGCAGGACACTGGGAATGACCAGCAGGACACTGGAATGACCAGCAGGACACTGGAATGACCAGCAGGACACTGGTGTGACCAGCAGGACACTGGTGTGACCAGCAGGACACTGGTGTGACCAGCAGGACACTGCGCTATCCCAGATGGACACTGGTGTGACCAGCAGGACGCTGGTGTGACCAGCAGGACACTGGGATGAGCAGCAGGACACTGGTGTGACCAGCAGGACACTGGTGTGACCAGCAGGACACTGGGATGACCAGCAGGACCTCACCCTCTGCACAGCTCCCTGGAAGCCGCTGGAGATGGCAGCCGCTCGAGCCAGCCTGGAGAAGTCGGGGGCTCCCCCCACGTAGAAGGGCTCCTTCAGGTTCAGCACCATGTGGGGCACCTGTGGAAACAGGGATCACCCAGAGGGAATCAGGATGTTCCCGGCTGTCCCCTGGCCCGGCAGCTGCCCTTGGTGATCCTTGTGGCTCTCTCAGTTTGGGATCTTGGATGATAATTTGTGATGTTTCATTCCATGATGGTTTATTGATGATTCTATGGGTGGAGCCTGCAGGAAACCTCCTCATGCCGAGGACTGCCAGGTGCCACCCCCAGCAGGCACCTGGGAAAGGTTTCCCATGGATTGGGTTTTGGGGAGAGGCTGTTCCCACACCCTCAGGCCTGGAGGGGGGCTCTGCTTTCATGTGACCCCCAGAATTTGGGTACCCAACCATCGCTCAGAGCCTCTGCAGGGCGCGTGCTCAAATCCCAGCACATTCCAGAGGGATCCAGCCCAGATTTGAGGAGCTTCTCCCACATCCCATGGCTTGAGGAGGTTCTCCTGCACCCCACATGGTGTTTTTGGAAGAGAAAATTCTCTCCTTGCTGTTGCCCCACTGGAAAATTCCAGGTGAGGCTGCAGCCCCAGGATTCCTGGGAATTCTCTGGGATGGAGCCAGGGCCACAGCAAGGACAGGGTGACATGGATCACTAGCTAATGTTTTGTGGGATTAACACAACAAAATAAAATGGGATTAATTGAAATGCTCCCGAAACAAAAGGTAACAACTGGCTGGGAATGAAGGACGGGAGAGGGAATGAGCGGCTCTAAACTACAGGGATCCTAAATCAGATGGGAAAGGGACAGGGTGGAACACTGAGATCCGGATGGAAAACACAAAGAAAGAACGAGGTGCCAATGGCAGATGAGATGGAGGCGTGGGGGGGGTCATACTTATCTGTACCTTACGGGATTTCTGGGATCCAGACAGCAGGGAAGGGAAAAATACAAAGGAAAATCAAAGGGAGAGAGAAAAAAAACAAAGGGACATCAGTGGGGTGACATCGCAACAGGCAGGGCTGCTGCCACCGGGGCTGGGTGGCTCTGGGGGTGGCAGGAGGGTCACTGCCACCCAGGGCTCTGCTTTGCTCCAAGAGGAGCTTCCAAAGAGGAGAGTGAGGGCAGGAAAATCCCTTCTCTGGCAGGAATGCCGCAGTTCCTGGTGGGTTTAGGGGTGAAGTCGGCAGCCAGCAGGGCTTTTCCTGCCTTCTCAGCTTCCTGGAAATGGGGAGGGAGGGAGGGAATCCCTAGGAACGAAGGGACAGAAGCAGGAGGGACGTGGGGAAAGGCTGGAATTGGAAGCTGCCAGCTGGGAAAAGGCTGGAAGCACTGATGGATGCAGCGGCAGCAGGGCCAAGGGGCTCTCCCTGCTCCCAGAGCTCCTCTCACTGCTCAGGGGGCTCCTGACACCCATCAAGGCCCTTAATTAACAATGTCATTATTGACCCACAGGTGCCTCATGTACCTGTCCCAACACAGGGACAGGTGAGGACCTGAAATAAGGGATGGGCGTCCATGAGAGTGGGGAGGGCTCATCAGAGGCATCCCTGAAAGCTGGCTGGGCTCCTGGGCAGGGACAGCGAGGGAGAGGGGCTGGGAGCTGCTGTCCCATGGGACGGGATGCAGGGATCCTTCCCTGCCCACTTCTCCACCCTCAAAGCCATGATTTAAATCCCAGGAACCTGAGGAATTCCTCCCACACAGGAGCAGAGTAGGGCTGGGCGTCCCTCCCTGACTCACCGGCGACTCCCCCGTCACCCTCTCGCCATTGTTGACCCTCAGGACGCCCTTGCGGCCGCTCCTCTCCAGCAGGACACTGATCCAGGTGTTGAGGGGCACTGGCTCCTTGCTCCTGAGGGGGAAAAAGGGAAAAGAAAGCTCCCAGGTGAGAGCTGTGCCCTCAGAACCTTCAAAACCTGGAAACCTGTCTCAGCAGAAACGGGCAGGACACCTGTGCTCCGTGCAGAATGGCCAAAGCTTTGCTGCTCATTTTGATCTGGTGTCACGAGGCACCACGTGTGAGTCGAATTCATTCTCATTCACTTATTTCTTCAATTATTTGAGTTTCAAATCATTGAATCCCCGTTCATGGGTTGGTAATGGTTACTGTACATGTCCATCAAACTCTTTTCTTTCTAGATATGTTTACATTTTTTCTCTGTGGGTTCTCCACAGGATAGAGATCTTATTTTTATAGGTAAAATATAAAAATTATAGCTGGGAAAGGGGCTTGGCCTGAAGGAAAGGAGCTCGGGAAGGAGCTTACTGCTCTCCATGAATCCCTGCCAGGAGGGGACAGCCCCAGGTCAGGCTCTGCTCCCAGGGAACAGGGCCAGGAGGAGAGGGAACGGCCTCAGGGGAGGTTTAGGTTGGAGAGTTGGGAAAATTCCTTCATGGAAAGGGCTTTGGAACATTGGAACTGTGGTGGAATCTCCAGCCCTGGAAGCGTTCACCAAAGCACATCCAAAAGTGCCACATCCACACGTCTTTTGAACACTTCCAGGGGAGGTTCCAATCCCTGACCGCCCTTCCAGAGGGGAAAAACTCCCAAATATCCAACCTAAACCTCCCTTAATGCAGCTTTGAGGAGTTTCCTCCTGTCCTGTCTTTGGGATGCTGTGGACTGAGCTCCCCTCCTGGACCTGGAATTGTCCATGGAAGCTCTGAGTCAGCCCTGGGGCACTCGGAGGACAGGGAGTGCACGGGAAAGGGGAAATGCAGGAGCTCCAGCTCCTGCTCCCTCAGCTGCAAATAAACGGGAATCTAAAGCTGGATGTCCCAGTAAAAACCAGGACGGGCAGGTCAGGGCTCACCTGAGCAGGGCTGGCCCTTTGCCCAGGTCGTATCTGTACTCCAGGTGCCCCTCGTGCAGCGCCAGGGACACAAAGTCCCCTTTGCCATCGCTCTTCTGACCGTTGTAGAAGATCATCCCGCTGGGGTTCTTGGCCAGGAACACCACTTCCATGGACATCTTGTCCCTGAGGAGAGCAGGGCTGTGGATACCCTCCCATCCTGCTGCCCTCCCGCTCCACACCCGCCTCCCTTGGCATAACCCTGCCTGCCTGAGACCGTGGAGGTGGCAGAAGTGACAAGGGGGAGAAGCTGGATGTGGCACAGGGAAGGGAGAGGTGGCACTAGAGGTGGCACAGGGAGCTGGATGTGGCTCAGGGAGCTGGATGTGGCACAGGGAGCTGGATGTGGCACAGGGGAGGTGGAGGTGGCACAGGGGAGGTGGAGGTGGCTCAGAGAGCTGGATGTGGCACAGGAGGCTAGATGTGGCACTGGATGTGGCACAGGGAAGGTGGATGTGGCACAGCGAGCTGTTTGTGGCACAGGGGGCTGTTTGTGGCACAGGGGGCTGTTTGTGGCACAGGGGGCTGGATGTAGCACTGGATGTTGCACAGGGAAGGTGGAGGTGGCACTGAAGGTGCCACAGGGGGTTGTTTGTGGCATTGGATGTGACACAGGGAAGGTGGATGTGGCACAGGGAAGGTGGATGTGGCACAGGGGGCTGTTTGTGGCACAAGGGCTGTTTGTGGCACCCCTGCCAGGTGAGGATGCCCCTCGTGCTCAGGGTGCTGCGGGTGGGGATTTGCCCCATCCCTCACTCACTGCAGGTCGGGCACGAAGCTCTGCAGCCCGTTCAGCTCCAGGTAGGAGAAGCCGTTGAACTCCGGCAGGAAGGGCACGGAGCGGTCCTGCTCTGTCACTGGGCACAAAGGAGCAGCGTGAGGGTCGGGAGGCATGGCCAGTGCCCCAGCTGCCCTCAGGGCTCCCCCAGCCCCACCCTGCTGTCCCACCTTGCTCGCAGAGGTGGCCCTGGCGGCCCATGGGGCAGGCACACAGGGCTCCCCGGTCGGGCAGCACCAGGCAAGTGGCAGAGGCGTGGCACGGCGAGGGCTCGCACGGGTTCCTCTCGAAGGCGCACGTGGGCCCTGCGGTGGCACAGGCAGCTCGTCACCAACCCCCCCAGGGTCCCCCACAGCCTCTCCTCCCGCCTCAGCTGCTTCCCACACAATCCCACACGATCCCGGAATGAACCAGGATGGAAAAGGTCCTGGAGATCAATCTACGACCCAACAGCCCCTCAGCAACAAAACCCTGGCACCGAGTGCCACCTCCAGGCTTTGATAACCCCCTCCAGGGACGGTGACTCCAGCCTGGGCAGACAATTCCCGTGCCCAAAGGCAAATCCCATGCTCAATCCCTCAATTCAGAAGAATTTCCCCACAGTGAACCCCACAAATGGAGGGGCATCACACCCCTAAAATGCCTTGAGGGGACATTGTTTAATGCCCCTAAAGGGAACATTGTTGGGGGCATGAGGACAGCCAGATCCTGGCCCTTATCTCCATAATCCACCCGGAATTTATGGACAGCACCGGACATGGCTTCACCCTCCACAGCAACCCCAAAAACTCCCTCAGAACCCACAGACGGGTGAAAAGCCCCCAGTGCCCATCCCCACACCCCCAAAACTCCCTCAGAATCCCCCAGTGCCCACTCCTATACCCCAAAAGCTGTCTCAGAACCCACAGAGGGGTGAAAACCCCACAATGCCCATCCCTGTACCCCAAAACCCGCTCAGAGCCCAGCGGTGCCCATGCCCATACCCGTGTAGGCCTCGAGGCACTGGCAGTGGAACATGTCGGCCTCCCTGGCGTGGCAGGTGCCGCCGTGCTGGCAGGGGTTGGGCTGGCAGGGCTCGGTGCCGCACTCGCCCACGGCACTGCCGTAGAGGACGTCGCCGGCGCCCTGGCGCAGCTCGTGCAGGCGGTTGTTGATGCCCAGCTGGCGGATGCAGCCCCGCAGCCCCGCCGAGGC